GAGCCCCCTCCCCGAGCACCAGGGCTGCGAAGGCCGATCTCGAGGCTTTGCTCGGCCTCCGACGGGGGCCGGCCCTTTTGAAGGCGCCTTCTTCGGCAGCAGGACCGGGCAGCCCACCATGACCGAGAACTCCACGTCGGCCCCTGCGGCCAAGCCCAAGCGGGCCAAGGCGTCCAAGAAGTCCACGGACCACCCCAAGTACTCGGACATGATCGTGGCCGCCATCCAGGCGGAGAAGAACCGCGCGGGCTCCTCGCGCCAGTCCATCCAGAAGTACATCAAGAGCCACTACAAGGTGGGCGAGAACGCCGACTCGCAGATCAAGTTGTCCATCAAGCGCCTGGTGACCACCGGGGTCCTCAAGCAGACCAAAGGGGTGGGCGCCTCGGGGTCCTTCCGCCTGGCCAAGAGCGACGAGCCCAAGCGGTCGGTGGCCTTCAAGAAGACCAAGAAGGAAGTCAAGAAGGTGGCCGCGCCGAAGAAGGCGGCCAAACCCAAGAAGGCAGCCGCCAAAGCCCCCAGCAAGAAGCCCAAAGCCACCCCGGTCAAGAAGGCCAAGAAGAAGGCGGCTGCCACGCCCAAGAAAACCAAAAAGCCCAAGACTGTCAAAGCCAAGCCGGTCAAGGCATCCAAGCCCAAGAAGGCCAAGCCGGTGAAGCCCAAAGCCAAGTCCAGTGCCAAGAGGGCCGGCAAGAAGAAGTGACCGGGAAGCCTTTCTCGTGGACACTCCTGCCTGTCTCCTGTTTCCTGTAAATACTTTTCCTCTCTCGTACTCCTCATCTGCGGCCCCTGGCCCCTTTCTATTCTGACTTGATGCGAGACAGAATTTGGATTCCTCAGAAATTAGGGACTAGTTCATTCTTCCTTAACCAGTCGTGCAAGGACAGCAAAAAAAAAACCAACTCATCTCCGTAATGATGAGAACGTACTTCTATTTTGTTCTGTTAATTTGTTATTAATCTGCTTAGGGTTTGGGGTGGGTTCGTGTGTTTTGTTCAGGCGGGTGGTTTGTTTGCTGAGAAGGTGAATGGAGGATGAGGGGGAGTGGGGAAGGCCGCTTGTTTGGGCTAGTGGAGAGGGAGCCCAGGGATTGCAAGATTTGTAGGAATATCTTTGAGACAAGTGGGTTTTCTTTAAGTTGAGCGGCCCCTGTGAGTTTCAGGACCTTGTTGGGGAGGCGAGGGGTGGCAGCAGCTGGACGCCAATTAGGGAGGTGGAATAAGCCCTCTCGGGACTCCACCTCCCAGTGGGGAGCAGAGGGGGTCCAAGTCCAGTTTCCTGCTCACTTCTGAGTCTGTCCCTGTGGCTCCCATTGTCCTAGGGAAGGAGGGGGGTGACAGCTGGTCTGAGAAGCTGTGGCTTCTCAGCTG